TGCTAATGATGGCAAATTGTCCTCGTCTCGCCTATAGATGTCCGAAAAGAATTCGGTTCAGGCTATTCGTTGGCTTAAATTAAATATTATACAGACACGAAAATGCGCTTAATGTCGTCAGAAAAATGAGTTTAATCTATTCATAAGCATACTTTACAAAAGTAGCCTCCATTACAAATCACTCTCACTCTCACTTTCATTATTCTAGGCTAATAAAAGCATCTAAGTCTCTGTCGCTTTTGAGAATATCATATAATTTAATTAAGATTCATTTGTAAATGTTTTCCTTATTTCAAATTCCAATTTTAAATCACAAATAATATTTCTTTTGCTGCTTGCTGAGTGTCACGATTTATGTATAACTAGTAGAAGCCGCGGCTTCGCTCGCGCTAAAACTACAAAAAACTACTTTCCTTTGTTGGAAAACAAATGTTGGTTTAAGTATATTAAAATTAGATAATAAAATTTAAATAGTCAATACAATAACACAAAAAATAAAGTTTAGGATTAGAATTAATAGTAACTAATTTCTAAATGTGAAGCCTTTTTTGTTTTTTAAAATTATTATAAATCTAAACATAATACTATTAAAATAATCGGTAGTTATTGGGAATTTTATCCGAATATTCGGCCGAATACGAACACAAAAAAAGCGCTGAACATACCGAATACGAATATTCGGCCGAACATTCGGCGCATCTCTACTTATCTTAATATTATAATTACGAAAGTATTTTTAACCCCCGACGCAAAAAGAGGGGTGTAATAAGTTTGACGTGTCTGTCTGTCTGTCTGTCTGTCTGTGGCGTCATAGCTCTTGAACAGATGAAGCGATTTCGATTTAGTTTTTTTTTTTGTATTAAAGGTGACTTATGTGCGAGTATTCTTAGACATGTTTGCTGAAAATCGGTTGAGTCGTTTAGTTTAGAATCTGCAAATATACTCGAGTGGGGTCTCAAATGAAAGCGCACTGAAAGAGAATATTGATGACTTAATCGAGAGTGTTCTCAGCTTCGTTTGATGAGAAAATTGGTGGTGGGAAAATTGGGACATAGAAATCCGATTGTCAAGTGAGAGTATCAATTACTACATCTCAGTCTTTGCAATTCTGCTAAAGATGATTTGTCATGTGGGTTATTAAATAGTTTTCTTTGGGTGAACTCGACCAAAGATTATTAATTACTACACCATCCAAGGTGTTTACTAACAAAATCTACATTATAATAAGTATGTACCTATAAAAAGTGTTAAATAAAAAACTTAAATAAAAATTTAAAAAACCCCCGACACAAAAACCTAGTTCCCTTTAAAAAGTAAAAACTCAATCTTAAAGTACCTAAGTATGTATTAATAATTCTAAAAAATATACGTCGCGTTGGGGGACCGCCCCGGACCGAAAAAATCGTAGACAATAAATAATAATTTGGAGCGGTCCCCCAACGCGACGTATTTTTTTAATTATTTATAAATACTTAGGTACTTTAAGATTTAGATTTTTTTTTACTTTTTAAAAGGAACTTAGGTTTTTGTGTCGGGGGTTTTTTAAATTTTTAATTTAATTTTGGTATACTCTTGTTTGTTTGTTGACACCTCGATAGGGCAGATACGGCGTGATTTTCGCTTCAAACTTTATACATACTCGTATGTACACCAAAGAAGTTATTTTTCTTTTCGCTGCTACAAATAGTTCCGGTAAGATAATAATATATCTGATGTATATGCATATTTAAGATCTTTTTGTAAATATTGCCTAAAATAAATGATTAAATAAAGTAAATAAATAAAAAAATATGTATGCCTATCGGCTGCTGTTAGTTTATCAACCGACTTCAAAAAGGAGGATTTTTTTTTTTTTTTTTTTTTTTTTTATGTTTGTTACCTCAGAACTCCGTCATTTATTAACCGATTTGGAAAATTTTTGTTTTGTTTGAAAGGGTATACTTCCAGATTGGTCCCATTTAAATTTCAAAAAAAAATACCACCCCTAAGGGTGGAAAAACAACTAATGATGAATATAACCTACTTCTAATTGTCATATTGACTTGAAACTTTGCAAGTATTTCTATTTCCGTTGATAGTACAGTGGTTCGGTGTTGTTGACCTGATCTGATGGCAAGGCCAGAAGGTGGATAGGTGGAACTCTTCAACGGCTAATAGTAGATACTTTGAGTTTGGGCTTATTTTGTTTGATTTGACAAGCCTAACACGTTAGAATTCTTACTGTGCTACTACTGTCTACACTAAAAAGGGAAAAATAAAAACTTTTTAACAAAAAAATACAAACCGACTTCAAACAAAAGCACTAAAAAGTAAAAAATAACTGATTGGTAGTTTTCATTTACTATACATACCTAATCAAATATTTTCGAAGTCGGTGTGCTTTGGCTAAGTAATTAAAGCCTACCTATTAAATACATACCTAATAAAATATTTTCGAAATTGGTGCCAGCCCATACAAAGCAAAGCACACCGACTTCGAAAATATTTGATTAGGTATGTATAGTAAATGAAAACTACCAATCAGTTATTTTTTACTTTTTAGTGCTTTTGTTTGAAGTCGGTTTGTATTTTTTTGTTAAAAAGTTTTTATTTGTGATATTTATTCTGCTAACAACTTAGCTTATTGTAAGTACTACAGTTCGCTAAATAGAGATTGCATGAAATAAATACGTAATAATAATTCTACGGATAGTAAATGCTAATTAAAGTATGTTATTTATTAGAAAATAGAAAGGAAGTACCTGTACCGTACCTTTCATTTGTTAAATCTATGAGGTTCATTGCTTAGTAATAATTAGCTCATTAATTAGCTCGCTTCATTTAACATTTATCTATTTCATATTTTTAGTATTTTCTATGTAACAATAAATTAACCTAGCTTTGATAATGTCACAATTTTAACTCGAATCTATCACCTATCCCGTAAGGAAGCTTCATCCAGATTTAAAAGCACCCTAACTATATTAAATTATAAATGTATAAAATGCTCGTTTTTTTTTACTTATTTACTACCGCTCAGGTTCGTCCCTAATTATGTTTTAACGTTTAGTATATATTTCTCAGAAATGAAATAATTTTCCACAGTAAAATGTATCCTATATGTTGACTAGGTCAACCAGCTATCATCATAATAAATTTCATCAAAATCTGTCCAGTGGTTTTCTCGTGATGTGTGATGCGGTTTACAAAAATACAGACAGACCGATAAAAATTCTAAAAACTATATATTCGGCCTCTATATCGATAATTATAACTACATATTTCAATTAGATTTTCCAAATAATATTTAATGTACAGTTTGACTCAGTAAGAATTTTATTATATGTATAGATATAGAAAGATATTGCTAGTTAACTAAAGCGATTGTATATATGACTTAAGTCAAGTAGAAAATAATATTTCTAAGAAAATTAAAAGTTGAAGAGTGAACTATAAACACTTAAGCTAGTATCAAAATGAGTAGAAATTGTAACTTTTACCACTAAAAAACTATTAAAAAAACGTTATGAGGTAATAATCATAATAATGAACTGCCACTTCTTGGTTGTTACAATATATAATTATAGATGTGAAATGTTTTTTTTTGTAATAACAGTACCTATTTATAAAAACAAGCGCTACAAGCTCTTTGCAATAGTTCATGGCCAGCCATAATAGTTGAATTCGTTATAAATATATTTTCATTTAATTCTTGTATCATATAATATTATTGCGTGACTGATATTATAAACAAAAGAATGTTTGCTAGTTACTATCTTACATATACATATATAAAAGTATTTATCTCGCAAGCTTTCATGTTACGATAAGGCTAGAACTAACATTGCTGCTGTAATATATTCTAATATTATAAAGGGTTTTTTATTTTTTATTTGTTTGTTTATATAGAATATTCTCCGAAACTACTGAACCGATATAGATGTTTGGTAAGAAGATAATTTGAGACCCTGGGAAGGGCATAGCTTAGTTTTTCTCCCGGAAATCACTCCTTAAGGGAGTGAAAATGGGGGTGAAAGTTTGTATGAGGAAGCAACCTAGGGACGAACCTAGGAACGAAGCGAGGGTGAGTCGCTAGTTTACCTTATAATCCAATACGAATTTCTAATTATAGTTTATAAATACAAGTAGAGCATTTGTCCACGATTTTAAAATACTTTGATAATATAGGATGTTTTTGTGTATTGCGATATCTTGACCAATTGTAAATCGACTTAACAGTGTTTTTAAATGTACATATTTGGTACCTATTCTCAATATGTTTTATGATATGTAACATATGTATATGCGGAAAATAACCCCAATAAATTTAAAAAAAAATATACTCTTAAAGGAATATACCTACATATATTATTGATATAATATATTATATGTAAAGTAATTTAACAATGAACATATAATTATTATTATATTTAAACTGCTTATCTATCACTTATGTGTTTAATTAAACCTAGGATACATTTTATCTCGTTAAAGGTTCCGGTTACATAAATCATAGAATATATGAAAATGTAGTAAAATGATTACATACCATCTCTCTTGATAATTAAGGTAGATACAATTTATATCAAGATAAAAATACAATTACAGTTTAATTTTGCTTTGCTTATTGTTTAAACTGTGTTATACTCGTATCTACCTACCTATTTGCATGCAGAATATTTTACCCGCAGTTAAAAAAGATTTCCTGCGGTAAAAAGGACACATTTTTATTAAATTCTGATATTATTATATAGAAGTTTAAAAAACATTTAAGAAAAATAAGGATGCACGATAAAGAAGAATATAGAAAGGTCTCAGACGGCAGCAGTTTATTGAAGGGCTCTAAAATATTTATTTGAAAAAAAAAACCATTGTTTACAGATTAAATATAAATTATATTGTGGTTTGTTATAAATTGGTAATTTTTTAAAGGTTACATACTTTAACAATTAAAAATTGCTAGTCGCAATTATTATTAAGCATCAATTTAAAATCATTTCTGACTCATTTTGCAATCCTACCTCGATGGTGACGAATTCGATGATGTGTCACAGGACGACAGCAAGGCTGCTCCTGGTAAGTAGTCCAGGAGTCTGCTAACACCGACGCTGCTATAGCCCACATTAGCCCTGTGATCCATTGCCCTTGCCCGGCCATAATGACCAATCCTACCTAACCCGGCACATTCACCTGCACTATTCGTTACACTTAGCTATTCTATCAGTAAAATCAACAATCGTTTCCGGTATTTTTCAACAACGTTTATCTGTTTACATTACGCATCTAAATCTAGTCCCGGCAAGATAATGCTCTCAAATCATTCGAGTTGAACTTTTAGCAATTTATCACCGAAGCGGTGTCCCGGTTTTGCTATCTCATATTGAGTTATAATCTCCTTGTTGGGGTGTACTTTGTTCAGTTTCTGTAATTTATTGGTTGGGAAAGTGATATAGTCGCGATCGCCTGTACGTAACGTCGGAGAGACGGCGTCGTGACGTGCGCTGCCGTCATCGCAACAACGAGAACTGAATCGCGGCACGAGTCACGACTCGCGAGAGTAGAGACGGTCCGCCTTCAAGCCGGCCCGCTCGCTACACGCCGTGCACCGCCCGCTCGCGTCTACAGACAACATGCAACGGCCCCAACGAAACGTCCTAACCCTGTGTACTCTCTAACTCTCTAAGTGAGACAAGGAAAGCATATGCCAAATCCTCTTGAGCTAACAAAACGCAAGAAATGAAGTCACTCGCTATCTCTACTATTCGTTTAAGGAAAAGTTGTAAGTTAAAAAGTTTTGATAATTTTACTGATCCAGTATTTGAATTCATGTGGGGGAGATTGACTACGCAGTGACCCGACTCACCCGAGGAGGTATCATTACGAACATATTGTAATGAAGGGGATGCTTTCTATAAAACGCAGTAAATTTACCTAATTTATGTTTACGTTAGGATACGCACGAAAAACTTTTATGTTTGTAAGCACGCGAAAGGAAGTTAGCAGTTTTATTTTTTCTTCAAATATATTTATTAATAAGTAACCTAGTACGTGTGAGTCACGTTAGGATAGGCATGTGTGCATCATAAATTAGACGTGGAATTCGAAACAAGCCGTTGAAACATCATCGACAACATAGCGCCGCCTAATTTATACGTTTAATGTGTCAATTTAGTTACAAACAACATAATGTGGAATAAATTACTTGTTACAAAATATGTCGCACACGTGTTAAGAAGTTTAATGATATTTCAAGCGAAGTGTTATAGTCTTTCATATAAAATTTCAAAAGCTTGCCTTTCTTTATTATCTATATAACAACAAAAACAATAAAATTTGATATGATTTTTTTGTCTATTTGTGTGTGTGTCTGTCTGTCAATATATGTATAGATCTGTAAAAAACCTACGATCCATTGATCTGTTGCTATGTTAAAAAAAGGACAAACCAACATACTTTCGTGTAAACTATACTTGTATATTATAACGGCTTTATGTTATAATTAAATAACTTTTGAAAATCCTTTTATATGGACTTAGCAAGCAGAGATTACGCATAGTAGGGTAAGCATTATCAATTACTCATCCTCTTAGCGAACGAGCCCTCGGTCCTCTGAACTCGCCGGCCATCCCGCTTAACTCCTCTTAATCTCAAATAACTTCATTATAACGGAACAGTCCTTTGCATTATTTACCAAACCATTTCTATTATGGACTTTAGCCACGACTATAAAAAGGAAAATAAATATTTTTTATAGAATTTAATAAATGCTATACTTGTAGCTGCAAACAATTTCAATTACTTTCGATGAGTACAGGTATATGTATAAACGTTCGAAACTTCGTATCACATTTATAAGATGAACGGTGAGATCTTTACCGTTGCGGTCCATTTTCATCAGTTTCTCAAGTTTTTCAATAAAAACTTTCGACGATGCGATTTACATACGGTATGGATTCATTTATTTTCCAAAAGAATTTTCGAGTGAAGTGGTGAAGGTTTTCGGTGTCCATTAAAGAAAAAAAGGTCATAGCACTCTCGTCGAGACGGCATCGGCCCATCCTCTACTTGAGTTTTAATATTTTAGACGTTAGTTTTGTTGAATCGTAAGATATTCTTCTGTAATAATAGGTTTTTTTTTGTTAAGGGAGCTAGAGTGTTAGCTAAAGGGAAATACAAAAGCCAATACAGAATCATTATTGTTTCGTCATGACCGTCTATCCGTATGTCAACTAGGTATACGTTTTATTTAAATTTCCCTGTAATGTCCAAAATTACAATTACAATCAATTTTGACTATACATACTATGAAGTTTCTTTAACCCAAAAATATTTAAACGTTGTAAAAGTGTTTTTACATCCTTGTTTCGCATTCATATTTACTGACAGCCTGCACATTGGCCGTTATTTTGTTACGGTGTTGCAGTCTCATATTTGTTCTAATGGTAGCAGGGCGCAATAATTCCAACATAAAACAAAATAACACGCATGTTGAATCGTAAAACGTGCAATATAAACAGAATATAAAGTTGCGCTAGGCACTTAATACATTCAATTTGTTTTCAGCGGTAGGTTGAGCAGCGATCCCGCCATAATTGTGCAACGATAAACAATGCAACAATGATCAGCGCCATTCGCCTGCTACATGCAACGCTGCAAAATTCTACTTACAATACTAAGAAACCAACAACTCATTACAAACTATTTTAACTCACTCTTCCGTTCATAAATATGTTTATGTTAAAACGAACGTTAAAATGCTATACAAGATTACATATTATGTTTGAAATATTTGTAAATTATTAAAAGTGGTAGAGTCTACCGAACACAGCGCCAGCATTTTCCTCGTAGAGTAGATATAATGAGTTCAAACAAAAACACAAGTTGTCTAAGCACCATGGATTACGTATACGAGTGACGTTACGTATATTTAATGGTTAGGCGCTAGTATGTACGACTGCAGATCGTGAGGTCCTGGACTCGTATCCCGGGTCGATCCCAAACAGTAACTGCGTTTATTTCTAAAAAATACTCAATAGCTGCCCGGAGTTGGGAAATTGTCAGTGCCACTTTTCGGAGAACATGTTAAACTCTGGGACCTGCGCTTTGTATCTCTCACCTGTCGAGTTGTCGTCCCACCGGAATATAAGAGTTAAATGAATACTTGCGTGTGCTATAAATATGACCCGCGCAGTAGGCCTAAATGAAGTCGGCCGCCGTAAACGAAATCTATGAAAGTAATATGTGCAAACATTGACACTGTGAGAATTAAACGAGCGACAAGGTGGTAAAGATTTTGTGTACTAGTTTTGGGTTGTGTCTTAGTTTTATTATTACCAACATGAAATATATCAAGCAAAATTTCTGCACGAGAATTAAAAAAAAACAATCAACTATAGGCATACTTGTGTTATTGTAGTAAAATTGCGTATTGAAAACAGCTACCTGTTTATTTACTTAGTAACACCTGAAGATTAAGAAAAAAACTGACACATGAGTACGATACAATTATTAAAAAACATATGAAAATAATATACAATTAGCATGTATAGCTAAATCAGTAACTATTACAAAGCGAGGACTGTACGCAGTACGAGGCATTATAATAGCATGGGCGACTCTATAAACAACGATCTGCGATAAAATTACTTTTGCATCTATAACTTCCTTACTTCTACTGCGAAGTTCAAATTGCATTCCTTGTTTTATTATAATAGGTAGATATGGCCACTATCTCGTAACTGCTGGAGATAGTAAAATGTAGCTGTAAAGAGAATTGAGTGAAACCGGGTTGTGACTATTTTATGAAGCTACATAAATCAACGGCCAAGACCGAACTGAAACTTACTCATGTTAGATTACTACTATTATTTAGGAATTAATACTCCTACCTACTGAAATAATATATCTTAATAATAAAAATATTTTTAAGTATTCTTATAAAACATATTTATTTCTTACACGTTAAAAATAATGATTATGGTAATATATTAATAAATCCATACTAATATTATAAATGTGAAAGTATGTTTGTTTGTTTGTCCTTCTTTCACGTCGAAACAATCGAATGATCGACGAATTGGCGTGTTTTTTTGTGTGGAGATAGTCGGAGGGCTGGAGAGAGACATAGGGTACTTTTTCCGCAGGGGATTATCTCTTTCCCACGGGAAAACACGTTATAATACAATACCACGTTACGCTATAATATTAATACGTTATAATATAATACAATAACAAACTTGGTATAAATTTTTCTCAATACAATTAATTAAATACGTGTTTAGCATTTCTCAAAATTAATCCCATAAGGGGGTAAAATAGCGGATGAAAGTTTGTGTTAAACCTACCATTTTAGAGTATTTTTTGTAGTTTTAACACGAGCGAAGCCGCGGGTTCTGCTAGTATAAAACGTATAAAACACATTCATTATTTATTTTTTATACTTTTCTTTTTATTACAGAGGTAAAAAAAATAATTTATATTTATTTATCTCCTGTCTATTGTTACAATTTCACCCTTGTACAAGAAATACTAACTGTGAAGGTGATATGAGACCTTACAACAAATTTATGGATGGCCAGATCGTATCATAGTTATTTTAATTTTTAATTATTATGAAACGCTGTTAAGAGCATTTATATTTCACCTATGATCTTTTATTTAAGAATAAACAATACAATATACAAAGCTGTACCTTTAATTTTGATGGTATAACAAACCAAGATTGGTGGCGCACTGGAGACGCCGTTGCGATCTTTGTAACCTTACCATAGTGAACTACTACGACATGTGCTTGATCTATAACAAGCATTCGTCGTATCAATAATAAGCATTGGTGTGTCCTACAATTGTTTAAATATGATTACAAAAATTAAATAATTCATACTTTTACATTTAACCTAGAAGTCACTTTTATACGGCAACGTGTTCTTTCATACATATTCGTATTATTTATAATATTGTATTATTAAATAAAACTATCTTTTCGGATTATTTCGCGGATTTATTTTGATTTTTGGTTCCCGACGTTTCGAATGCTTTACAGCATCCATGGTCACGGGAGAGACTGAGGTGTTACATGTCTTAAAGATATAGTTGTTACAGACAGCCTACCCACAATTAACAAAATGAAAATTGCACCAATTACATTACAATATTTT